TGCCTGGCCTGGCAGGCTCTGGGAGCAGAGCGAGCTGGGGAGAGGAGAAAGAGAAAAGAAAGGGTCAATAGGGGTAAAAAGTGTCTCCCGCTTCCCACAGTGCCCCCTGCTAGAGCAGCCAGGAGCCCCCTCCCCAGCCAGAGCCTGCCCCATAGCCCCTCAGCACAATGCACCCTGTCCCCCACCTCCGGAGGCCCAGTCCAGGGCTGGTGTCTCTCACCTCTGCCCAGCTGTCTCCCCTCTGCCCCATTCCCCGTTGGTGGGGCTGGGGGGCCCAGCCGTGGCGCTGTGCACAGACCCCCCATCACCATTTTCCCCGTGGCCAGTTGGGGGCAGGCTCTCTGAGGACGAGTGGACCCTGTCCTGGGGCTCTGCCAGCCGGGCGATCTCTAGGGACTCCGCGCTTGGGGCAGGTGCCAGGGCCTGAGGTGGCACGGCCCGCGTGATGTCCTCGAAGCTGGCATACAGCCTGTCCTGGGGGTGCACAGGCATGGGCAGAGCAGGGGCCCAGCTCCTGCCAGAAGGAGGGAATGTTCAACAGACAATGCAGGCATCAGCGAACCCCCACATCCACTCTAACCCGCTGGACCTCACTCCCCTCCCGGAGCTGGAGAGAGAACCCAGGTGTCCTGGCTCTCAGCCCCCTGTTCTACCCCTTCAGGCCTCCCTGCCCTACAAGGTGCTGCGGTCGCTCTCTGCTGCTGCCGACTGGCTCATGGCGCGGACCCAGCCGTTCATGTCCTCCTGGGTGTCAGCGCTGAAGTGGTATGTCCGCATGCCGGGGTGCTCTGCCTGGGATACAATGTGAGGGGAGCAGGTTGGTTAACAGGGGCTGTGCTAGCCAGACCCCTGGGGCAGGGCTCTTACCCCCACACCCTAATCCAGCAGACCCCACTGCCATACCAGACCTGGAAATAACCCAGGTGTCCTGGCTCCCAGCCTCACAACTGTTCCAAAGCCACTAGCCCCAGGTCTCCTCCCAGAGCTGAGAAAGAACCCAGGCATCCTGGCCCCCAGCTCCACCCTAACCCACCAGGCCTCATTCCCTTCCCAGAGCTGGGAAAAAACCCAGGAGTCCTGGCTTCTGGCCCCACCCTGCTCTAACCCAGCAAATGCCACTGTCCTTCCAGATCTGGGAAAGAGCCCAGGTGTCCAGGTCTCTTAAAACTGGGGATCCCCAGAGGCATGCTCAAGCTGGGGCTCAGGACAGGACCCGCCCCCCGCCCAATTAAACTGACCTTGAAGGTGAAGCGCCGGTTTTTGGCCTCCTTCGGAAGAATCTGGATCTCATAGCTGGGCAGGAGGATGCTGCCCAAGACCATCTCCTCCCTGCTGTCTGAGGGACCCCAAAGGAAATGCATAAGTAGGATGTGATGTACTGCCTCAGAGCCCCCCACAGCACCCCCTGCTGGGGATACAGCCCCCATCCCTGCCAGGTCCTACCCCCACAGTGCCCCCTGCTTGGGGGTGCCCTCCCTCCTTGGGGAGGGGGGGCACGTTACCTCGGTAATAGAAGAGGCAGTAATTAGACAGGACAAACCAACGGCGCTTCCAAAGCTTGAGGCCAGAGCTGTCCTGGAAGGAGCAGCCAGGATGCCTGGGTGAGCCGCAGGCCTGGGGAACACCCCCAGGAGAAGTGCCTTTGCCCCTCCTTTGCCCCTCACCAACCCCTTTAGGAGAACCCCGTGCCCCCCCAGCCTCCTTTCCCTTCCTACCCCTGACCCCTGCCCCCACCTACTCATCTTCCCTGCCCTACTTGCACCCATAAAGCCCTCTGACTCACCAGCCCCCTTAAATTACCACCCCCATATCCCACTTCCCCTCCCCCAGTCACTCCCCTCACATACCTGCTTGTACAGCCAGCCCCGAATGACCACGGGAGAGTTAGGATCCCTCTTGATGGAGTTCCCCCTCTTCCCAAAGGTGTGGACCCTTCGCACAGAGCGGATCGGCTAGGAGGTGGGCAACAAGGGGTTAATAGGTGAATCAACCCTCCCCGCCCTCCCCCCATACACACACACCATTGGGGGACACACACACACAAGCACTAGGAGGTATACACAGACCCCCATTAGGGGGGGCACACACACCACTAGGGGGCATGTAAACGTGTGTGCGTATGCACAGACACACACACACACATACACACTATTAGAGGACACATACACACATTCACACACTACTAGGAGGCTTGTGTGTGTATACACACCCCCTATTCAGGGGCATACACACACACACACACCACTATGTGTGTGTGCACACGCATGTGTGCACCTCTCACTAGGTGGCACCAACCTCACCCCCAGCCCCAGAGGGGCATGGGCTGGCACAGGGGGAGCAAATAGGGCAGAGGCTTTTTACCCAGCTATAGGGGAGAGGGAAGACCTGAGGAACGGGACATGAGTTGGGGACAGGCATCTCTGGCTTGCGAGGGGTAACAGTCCCCTCTTGGGCTCCAGAGGCTGCAGACGCCCCCACTCCACCACCACAACTGTGCCCCCAGCCTGGGAAAGTGCAAGGTGCCCCTTGCCCTGCCCCACGCACCTTGGCACCCAGGGTAACAGAGGAGATGGTGAGGACGCTGCTGGCCTGGCTGAGGCCACTCCGAGGCCGCTCCCCGTCAGACATGGTGCCCAGCTGGCTTGACCCTGGAAGAGAGCACCCGGCGGGGAGATGGATCAGGGCACTACTGCAAGCAAGTTCAACACACTGGCTTCCCCAGCTAGGGGCACTGATGTAGTGAAGCTCACAGCACTGGTGGAGTCTCCAGCTGGGGGCACTGCTGTGGAGAAACTTGAAGCGCCCAACAAGCAGACAGCCTGGTATCTATCCTGACACGGGGCACAGAGGTCAGGATTGTGCGTGGGCAGGGAACAAGGCAGGCACAGGGTAGGGCACAGTGTTCCTGCCACCCTCAAGGGCGATAGGGCCTGAATGGCCCATTCATCTGTGCAGTGTGACTTGTAGGGGGTGGAGGAAGCAGGCACCCCAGGACACCATGGGGGTGGGGAATGTAAATGGGGGGAGGGCTGGGGATCATGTGCCGGGGCAGAGAGGGGCCCAGCAGACTCCTTGACAAACCCAGACCTACCCCAGGACCCCCAGCACTAAGACATGGCCCTGTCCCTGGTATATTCCAGCCCTGGGACCCAGCACCAAGACACAGCCTCATCCCCCACTATATTGCAGGCCTGGGACCCAGCACGGAAACATGGTCCTATCCCTCGCTATATTTCAGCTCTGAGACCCAGCACTAAGACACAGCCCTGTCCCCTGCTATATCCCAACTGTGGGACCCCAGCAGCAAGACACAGCCCCATCTTCCCTATATCCCAGCCCTGGGAACCAGCACTGAGCCACGGCCCCGTTCCCCAGTATATCCCAGAATCTCAAATTGCCCCCTGCCCCTCCCTTACTACAAGCTCATTCACTCAGGCAGGGAGCTGAGGCTGCTCAACTCAGTGCATGCCAGAGAAGGGCCCTGCAACCACCAGGGTGTGGCGGAGGTGGGTGGGTATGGAGTTAGGCTTGGGGAGGGGAGAGGCAACAAGAGAGCCTCTGTCTTTGTTCCAGGACGGGCTGGCATTCAGGCACGCCAGCTGTGACCCCAGGGCCAGCTGCCTGCGGGGGTGAGCATGGAGACAGGCATTCCTCATCTGTCACAGACCCACCCCGTCAGGGACCCACCGAGGGTCTGGACTTAACTCCTTCCCTGACATGGGTGCACTGCTGTGGAAAAGCTCACAGCAGCAGATGGGGGTGGGCACTGCTGGGGGGGAAAGATCACAGCAGCAGGGTTCTAAGTGGGGGGTTGTACTGTGTGTGTATGTGCGGGGGGCCTCACAGAACTGGGGGAATCCTGGCTGAGGGCACTGTTATGGGGAAGCTTGCAGCATTGGTCTATTTAGATGCACAGATGGAATCCAGGGCATGAGAAACTCCCCAGCCCCTCCCAGGGGCAGCTGCAGCCCTACTCAGACCCTTGCCCACAACCTAGGCACCCCCCCAGCTCTGAGGGGTCTGAGGCATGGTGGGTTACAGTAAGGGGCTGGAGACCTGGACACCTGAGTCTTTATCTCAGCTCCAGGAGGGTAGTGGCATCTGCTGGGTTTTAGCAGCCAGGGCAGAGAGCCAGGACTCCTGGGTTCTCTCCCACTACAGGAAGGGGGCTATAGTATGGTTGGGGGAAGGACTGGGAGCCAAGATGTCTGGGTTCCTTTCTCCCCTCAACCCCCAGTTCTCCTGTCCCATTCCTCTTCCCCGATGGCTACTCTCAGCTGGCCTCACTGCTACTCCACACAGTGCAAATCAGTTTCTGCCTCCCTCAGTTCCTGCTCCCCCCATCACCCCCCGGCCCCCAGCAACAGCCTCCTCCCCTGACTGCCAGCTTTACTGGGGCAGGAGGGCCAGGCAACCCCCATCTAGCTCTGAAACTGAACTGGGGTCTAGTGGGGGAACATGGCGGGGGGTGAGGCTGGGAGCCAGGACCCCTGGGTTCTGTCTCAGCTCTAAGTGGGGAGTGGGATCTAGTGGGTTAGAGCTGGGATGGGGGCTGGGAGCCAGGACTCCTGAGTTTTTTCCCAGCTTGGGGAGGGGAGTAGGGTCTGGGGGGTCAGAGCATGATGGAAGGACAGGGAACCTGGACACCTGGGTTTTTTTCTCCTCATGCACATTGTCCCCACCACCCCAGGAAGCTAGCGATATACCAGGAGGGAAAACCCACCCCAGAAGCCCCAGGGGGTATGCAGGGACCCTGATAGGCCTGGCTCTTACCTGGTGTCCTGGGGCCGCTCTGGCCAGAGCTGGGGGTAGGAGTGGGGAAGGGGGATGATTCTCAGTGCCGCCCCATGGGTACCACTGATCTCCACCACCTCTGCCCCCTCTGCCTCTGTCCCACCTGCTGTCTCCTTCTTCCCACGTCCCCTTGACTCCCCGTCTCCCTCCCCTGCACTGAACAAAGTGTGTCCGTCTGTCCCTGTGAATGCACCCTGGCCCGGCCCGGCTCCTTTTCACACACACCTCACTGCGTCTGTCTGTCTATCTATCCGTCCCCACAGACCCCCCCTTACTGATCTCTCTTCAGCTCTATCTCTCTGCCACGCTCCCTCTATTTATTATACCTCCTCTCTCCCTCTCTCTCTCTATCCATCCATCCTTCCCAATAAACCCCTCTATCTAACTCTGTCTCCATCCACCTCCTCTATCTGTCTATCCATCCTCATGCACACCCCTCTATCTTTCTACCCCAGGCTCTCTCTCTCAGCTGTGCCCCCCACCCCAGCCAGGAGCCAGTACCCAGATCTCCGGGGCAAGGCCTGAGCTGAGAGATTGAATTTCAGCTCTGTCTCCTCCCACGGACACATACACCAAGATGGGCGGAGGGCTTAGGCCAGGAGCGGAGGCTAATGGTTAGAGCAATGGAGGCTGGGAGTTGGGACCCCAGCTCTGGAGGGGGAGTAGGGGCTATGGGTCAGAGCAAAGAGGGCTGGGAGTTGAGACTCCTAGGAGGGGAGGGAGGCTGGTGGGCTAGAGCAGGGCGGGGGTTGGGAGCCTGGATGCCTGGGTTCTGTTTCCAGAGTGGCGGTGATGAGCTGTCCAGCTGGTGCAGTCCCATCTTCCCCAGTGACTGCCCCTTCTCATCTTAAGCCCTGCACAGCTGGTGCCTCCCAGTGGCTGAATGCCCTCAGGATTTTCTAGCCCTAGCACTCTCCAGCCAGGCTTTGAGGGGAGAAGGAAAGGGTGATGCTATGCCTCTGGACCTCAGGGACCCCCTCCCCATCACATCGAGATTCAGGGACAGCATCCCTGGCCTGGAGGCCCCTGCTATAGGTCAGCGATGAGGACAACTGAGGTTGCCTGATTTCACAGAGCAGGAAGCAACTCCTACATAGAACCCCAGTGTCCTGGCCCCTGCCACCCTGCCATTAACTCACTGCTGGCCCCACACTGCTCTCCCAGAGTCAGTAATGCCAACTTTCATGAAAAAAGTACAAGTCTTGATTTCCAAGTCAAATGGACTCATGATCTCCTGATACAGAGATCAAATCTTGGGATTTTTCTTCTGATGTGTAGAGAGCACCAAGCTGGTAATTTCGTGGAGGGGAAGGGGCAGGGGGAGAGGGAAAGGTGTGGGGGCAGATCAACGGGAGGGAGTGGGGCAGGCCTGGCAGGTGCTGGGGTGAATGGGGTCCCAGGGCCAGGGTGAATCGTACAACAGAGCCATGGGCAGCTGTCCGTCCATGTTTGTCTGTCCCTCACTTCCAAGCCACAGCCTGCCCCCCCCAGTCCTGCTGCTGCCTCTCACTCCTGACCCACAGTACTGCACATCCTGCCAGGGCTCCAAACCCCCCACACACCAACAGCCCCCCACACCTTCACAAATAACACCCTCCCCAAACATACACAGTTCAAAAATAGCATCTCATGATTTACATTCTAAATCTCTTAATTTTTAAGAGTTTCTCATGATTTTTGACATGATGAGGCTGCCAGTACTGCAGAGCTGGGGATAGAACCCAGGAGGTCCTGGCTCCTAGTCCCACCCAGTCTGCTACATCACAACTCTATGGCATGAGGAAGCAAAAGAGAAGCTAGATACATGGAAATGTGGGTGTAAAAGAAAACGCCACTGAAAAGTGAAAGTAC